CAAATGTAGGAAAGCAGCCCTTGCTTGCTGATCCACGCACTCACATCTGCATCGGATCCACTTTGATTGTCGATGATGCTGCCAGATATGTAAAGGTGTTAACGTCCTCCAAGGCGTCTTGATCAAGAGAGATTTGTTTGGTGCATGTTGTGTTGCATCGCAGAATCTTGTTTTTCCATTTCTGTATGTTGAGACCTGCTGCTATTGAGGCTGATGCTAACCTGGTCATCCTCGCTTGCATTTGTCGTTGCGTGTGTGATAGAACAGCAAGATTATCTGCGGAGTCCGGATCGTCCAGTTGCATCCTGACTTTCCAGTTGATACCGTGCTTCAGTCCAGATGTTGCCGTCTTCATAATACAGTAGATCACTACGAAAAAGAGAAAGGGTGAGAGTAATCATCCTTGCCTGATGTTTAGTTGATGTTCTAATAAAATAAGTATCTGCAGAGTCATTGTTTGGCTTTATATATGGATATTTTCTGTTCTGTTCTCTTTATTTCCATTTTTCAGCACCTTATTCCAATCCTTAAATACTAGTCTGGATATTTGCCGAAGACCTGGTTACTTTACACAGGAGCCTGTAAATTTATTATATGAAGAATATCAACCACATCTTAGCACACTTACCTCATCAATTCTTGTTATACGCAGACTTGGGTCTACCTTGCATTGTTTCGCAGTCATCAACAGTTCGTCGTAACGCATCTGTTGTAACTCACGACAATCAATCGTATTGTACATTGAAGAGTCTGGAAAATTATTTATAATTTTATGTGAAAATTTTAGTCATCTATATGAAGCCAGTCTATCTGCTGAAATATTTCATTAACTGAAAAAGATTTACAAAAATGTGTTAGCAATCTTAACATTTTGATCTTTACTGTAAATAGGCATGCCTCTTTTAACATGTTGTTACACGAGAATAAATTGATATTACTATGTTTTTATCCCTATCATTGGAGCCTTCGCGATTGAAATATTCACATGCATACTGATAATTGAATTTGGTGCAAATATAAATCTCTAACTATTAAAACCAGAACTAATGAATGGACCGAGACACAAAAAATTCATTGGTCAATTACGAATTCAGGTCACTGGTACAAAAATATTGTTGTCGTAACATTAACAACCCTTTTTTCTAATATTTTCCTTAGTTCCTAATGCCAACCGCAATCTGTATACTTCAGACACATCGATCCACTGAGCAATTTCAAACCTGGCTAGTTAGGTTTAATGAGTCATAACCATTTTATATGACTTGCAGCCTTAGCTTGATTTAACGGATCGTCTTGATGTAGAATCTTCATTCCTGTTTTGCGGCTGCTGTCAGTAGTCAGAAACAAAATCCAATTCCTGTAGAAATTCTTACTAAGTAGTCTTGAGCTCATATAGGTCTTCGGAGCTCTGGAGCAATAAGAGGGCTTTTTCGTCAGTTCGTTACACTATATATCTGCCGAAAACGTTTGGTTTATACTTTCTTATAGACTTCGTGAAAGCTAGCATTTTTGACTGTTGACGGAGTAATTCTTTTTAGGCCGGCTCAACAAACGAAAACTCGCTAAATGAACCAGAGCCCTACCCAATACCTTTCCGGGCTGTTGCAATCAAGAGCCTCGTTATTAGAGATAGAGTGTGGGTAATAACTTTTACTAACGTAATGGTAATAACTCTAGGCTTTTGTGGTTGTGTGGTGTATCTAGCATTTGAATACATATTAATATTCGGCTTGTGTAGATACTGGTTGTACTTGTTCATGATATCAGTCTTGTCTTCAGTGTCTCATGGATGTGTTCCTTTGGATGAATTCAAGTTTATTCTAGTCATCGCGTGTAATATGTTTGAGTGGATTGATTTTTAAATGATTAACTTCAACCGACTGGGCATTATTATGTGGCTTATATTGAAGCAATTTTCTGTTCTAACATCTATGATGAGAAATGTATGCATTGTTATATTTTCCGGTGTCAGTTTGGGTCGTATTTTGCTCAAAGTATTAGAGTCTTAATGCATGTAAGGATATGTTAGGTAATGTATCAAATTTAAATTCAGATCCTGTTTGTGATCGTTGCGTTTATTATTCTTTTTAGCTCTGGGATCTGTCTTCAGTTGATTTTTGGCTGCAACTCAGTCATGTTATCTAGACGCCACTGATCGTTTATACAGTGTTGATGAGGCTTTAGATCTGGAGCAACCCTTATATCTGTATACGGAATTGATGAGCTAATATTTTTTCTGAAACGGATAAATTGTTTAGCGTCACTGCAGTAGCCAAATTTGAACAACAAGCGGCATGTTGATTTATTAAACTAGGGCGGATGATTTGATAGGCATGCAGGCAGGTATCTCTTCTCTTAATAATGATAATAACAATGATATATTTATTGTCAAATAACTACGCTACAAGAGTCACGCCAGTTTAAAGGCTAGATCAAATTGTCTTAGCGAGGAGTGTACGGTCAAGTATCTCTATAGGACGACAATGCTCTTTCGTTAGTTCTAGAGACGAAAAAGTGTGATAGCCGTCTTACGGAGGACTTCCTCAGGTACTGGGATACTGTGATATGTCCTCGCCAAGTCAGTTTTGGTTGATATGTGAATACTCAGTAATCAGTTTGTAAAATCGTCAGTTCATATCTGATATGATTCGACGATTGAGGGGTCTATAATGGTCACATGGTCTTCAGTCACGTTTGGTTTTCTCTGGGACCATGTGTCCTATTCATCGAATTTAAGAAAGCTTTTGATAAAGACACAAAATAGACTTCTTGACAAACTAAAGTCAGTCGTGATCAGCATCCCGTCATAATAATGGTATGTTGCATTCCAAAATGACTGTCAACAAACGGTAAGATATAACGATCTTCTTTCATCACCGACACCAATAAGCGGCGGAATTATCTATGGAAATTTATTAGGTCCACTCTCGTTTCTCATGTACATAAAGGATATCATAGATATGAGGTCTCCGAAAATGTACAAAAATTTTAGATTAAGTTGTGAATAACAGTAGACCTCAAATCACAAGTAACGTTGAAAACCTATATATCAAAGGCAAAACATAGAAAATACCATTTAACCAAAACAAATGTGGGCTGATGCATTGTGGTAAATATCACTCTGAAATACTATGTTATTTAAGAATTGTGGGATCCAGACACTAATATCAGCACACGATCTGGATATTACTTGCTCAGAAAACCTATTATATAAACAACATGCTTCTTTTATCATCAGTAAATCTGGACAGCAAAAACGTGTTTAAGTCGCTTTCCTGAACATTGTTTACTTCCAAACATAAGTGATACGGACAACAGACAAGAGAAGGATATCCAGAGAAGCTTCACGCTTAGAATGCTACCACACATTTGATTGTACAGAAATGTGTAAATACCTTTCCATAGAAACTTTCAATCTTGGATTCGAATACCGAATAAAAGTTATCACAAACTTAAACGTACTCAACATCAGTAAATGAGTCAGAATGGTGTATATGACCAGGAAATATGATAGTTGGCGATAACCCTCTTCCACCAATGCCTGTGGAGAAGAACATTATATTTGCTAGAGGTTCCATACGATTTATCATACGATTTATTTATTACCATCACTGGCGTTGATGGTAATTATCCATGTCAAACACCTCTTCGATCTATGGTTACAGGCTTGGACCTGTTTAATTTTCAATCGAGCGATCCTATTGCAAGCTGACCTGGGCAGTTGCGGTGAAAAGCAGTTCACTCGTAAATTCTTTATCAACGTTGATTAAAAAAGCATCAAATGGACTATAACTAGTGTATTAAACCACTGCCTTCCTTATAATATTCTGTTGATTTACATAATTTTTAAGAATTCAGTACTTTTGAATTTCCTCTACTCCTACAATCAGTTGTGAATTCGTTATCTTATTGATGACATGTCTTTACGACCCTATGTAAATGCAGGTGTGCAGCAAATGATGTAATACAGCGAAAAATTTGATACAATCATTCCTTCGGTGTTTTGTTCTTAAACGAATCTATTTAGACATGACTCGGCTTGATCACGAATATTTTCTAACATACTTCTTTCCTAACACATTGTTATTTAGGAATAGATTTTTGGTTACTACATTCCTTTTTTCCGACAGCTTGACTAGCTTTTAGATCACTTTCCACTGACTTTTGTGAATATGTTCTTCTCAATCGTAGTATACTTCAATGGATGTTATATGAGTGTTTCTACCAATTGGGTTCAACATTCTCTTGGGCAAGAAAAATCTTGTAGTGAGAAATATTACCAACAACTTGTATAAAGTATACCAGGGAGATGTGCTCGTAAATATATGCCATGTTATGCGGATTCCGTATATGATGAGTGTTTACTATAGCATTTGATTTATGAGTACGTCTAAAAACTGACAGAGAAGTTTACAACAATTATTAACTAAAACGTGGAGCGATCAAGGGTAATGTCTAGACTCGCACATGAGCAACACAGTTTCATCGATACTGTTAATTATCGACACGTCGCATCTACTTATTTTAGGAAGGAATAAGACTTCAACAATGCAGAGGCAGTTTACATCCATATTTCCTCCATAATTTGAATGCCATACTCTCTAGTTCATTAGGTTGTTGGTTTTTGTATCTCGAATGCAAGCTGGATTATTAGTATGCACTGGTAAAAATAGTAATCATATGAAGAAGTATATAGGAACAGTTACAAAGTAACAAAGTTTACGCCGAACTGACAAGATCTTCTTGAGTTTCACGTAACCATATAATGCTTGCTGAAAAGATAACATATATACTTCAATGTCATACCAACAAAGTACGCTCAGATATTTTCATTCGCTAATTTCATAGAAAAGCATTCCAACGAATTGAGTATTCTCTAGGGTGACTGGAGGATCAAGCACCTGAAAACACAGCGAAGAAGCAAGAATCGAGCGCAAAGAAATCAGTTGGTTTATACTAGCTCGTTAAAAAGATATTGGATAGTGGACCCAGTGCGAGGCATTTCAAAACTGGTTGGTACTGGTTATGTACATCTGCGAGCTGTGTGGTCTTTCATTTGAAACAGAAAAGGTATAATAATAACTATTTTGGTGTATGCTATGTAACAGGAAAGTTATGAGCACGATGTTAGTGAAAAGCACCACAGGAAGTTTGATGAATATGAATTAAAGCATGGACGTCAGCCGTTAGTATAAATGTTATCATATTTTGGTTTAGATTTCATTTTTGTTCTATATGCTATTGTGGAAACATACAGGGACTCAAGTGCTGGATTAACCACACTCAGAATTCCCGTCATAAAACCAGTTTAAAATCTTTCTATGAATTTTATGGGGTTTGGTGAGTTTCACTTTAAAAAATATTAGACAGTAGTAGTTAGTTACATCATGTGTTAGCTTTTTGCATAATACTTCTCGAGATATTCTGATGGCATCGTACGACGTGTTTTATGGCTGCGATTTTTTTGAAGACCTTAACTTGCAACTACCTATTCGTATAAAAAGGTCCTCACTATAGTAAGGATTGCACTCACAGGGTCTGCCTTTGAAAGAAACCGTCGAATTATGAGAGCGATGGTTTGGTTTTTGGAGCATGCTCCAGATAATATGATCACGGTATTATGCTTGGGTATTCAATCAACTATCGATTAAACCGTATCATCAGTTACTAGAATTGCAAGTAGTACTTTTTCGGGATATCAACGTTGTTGCGTTCCATATAAAATTGCTCAGAGGTGCTGTAAGTATTATGCCGTTCAGGATGAGATTCTGGCTAAAATTTTTGTCAAGATGATAGATGTCCCATGCTCTGTCTACGGTTTATTACAAGTCGAGCTGGAACTTTTTGCACCATGTTCACAGTTGTGTTCATATTTCCATCAACTAGAAGTTGTGGCATTACCATACAGTGGCTTCCAAAAGCAACGGTCCACCCATCCATCAAACAAATGGCATTTTGTTTGAGTTTTTAAGTTTATTTCCACAGGTGCTTCTGTCCTACAGAAACGTACGGATATAACTCTGTATCAATAATCCTGATGTGTTTCATACCGACTATCAAACCTACTTATGATTTTGGATGGGGGGTCTATTGATACGCATTTTTGTCTGAGAGTAGACGTGCCAGTTCCTCCAGCCACCTCAAAAGCAGTGACGGCCTAACGTAGTAGCTATGTAGTATTCCAAAATGTAAAGGGTGATTTGAATACATGAGTACAATGAACTAAGATGTCAATGACAATTTTTCGGCTGACAATTTTGACAGTACTTATTGTCGCGTTTTTAAATTCTGTATTATTAAATAACGTTTAAATTCATAGTTACATTATGATTAAGCAGCATTGTTATTTATATCGATATACGCAGATTGTTTGATATTTTGATGTCTAATTAATATTGGTTGCTTGGTATTTTATAGCCCCGAAACTGTATCGACACAGCAACCAGTTCGTGGACCTAAAATATGTAAGTTTTCTTGTTAATCAATCGTGTCTCTAATACACAATCGCTAAGACTTTCGAAGTAATGAGTCCTAATATTAGAATGATGACAAAACGTTACAAACTATTTTTTGAGCTGACGATTTTATAATAGCTGTATGTGGAAGATATCATGATGCAAATGTAAGGAAAGTTCTCTCTTCATCTAAAAAGCAGTTTTATAAAGTGCTCATGCAGTCCTTTATGAGAAATCCCTTCTTACTGCATCCAAATAGTTATTTTCATAAGTGTCAGTTGGCAAAAGTACATATACTGCTTTCAAATTAGGAATTGTGACGGAGTGCAACTAAAGAAATAAAGCCCTACAATTGCTTAATACACTTCTTGGTACAGATGTACAACGGCGAAAATTGAGACATTATATCACCAGAGCGATAATAATAAGAGAGTCGGAATGATAGTAGTACCAGTGATAATTCAAGCGACCAAGCACAGTGAATACCGTCCGACGTAGAGCACAGAGTTTGCTCAATGAGTTTGAATAATATTGAACTTCAATGCAGATGATAAAAGGTGAATGTATTTTCATCTCCCTCTGGTCTTCAACCACTTGGTTCAGTCACTCAGTCAGCTATAACTACCTAACCAAGGTAGTCTACATCTACTAATATGAGTCAGTCCAGTTGTCGGTGATTTCATGGATTTGTGCCATGTTTTAGTGTGGCCGACCCTAGCTTTCTTCAAGCCTAATCCTACACCACAAAACATAGCTCGTCGCGGCAGTCGGTGGTTAGGCGTACGTAGCACACGTCCCAACCACCTCAACTGATGAAGTTTCAATGCTTCATCTATTGATTTTCCACCCTTACCTAGAACTCGTTTCCTAACGATAGCATCGCTTACTCGGTCGTCCCAGTATACACGAGCAATGCTTCAAAGACATGCATTATCGAAGGCAGGTTGGAATGATATCAAAAAGGCTGTGGAAACAGCAGTGATATCTGCTAGTAAGGTTGACCATAAGGCTAGAATGAAGCCGTGGATCTCAGTAGCATCCACCGATCTGATGGATGCCCGAAAACTCATCCCACCTGGCTCTGAACATGAAGAACGAAGTCAGCTTAGGCACAGGCTGATAAAAAGCCTGCGCAACGACTGTGAACAGTGGTGGGCGGCAAAAGCAAAAGCGGTGGAATATGCAGCGGCGATAGGCAACAGTAGACTACTTTTCCGACTTATCAAGGAAACTGGTATTAGGAATCCTAGTGTAGGCGAGACTATCTCGGAAAATGATGGGACTATCATTTATTATCAATCCAGGAGACTGGATCTATGGGCAGAACACTTTAGGGATCAGTGCAACTGGCCTCGAGCCACTCTTCGGTTACCCACGATCTCCAGTCATCCTGAATAGCAAATCGACGTAAGTCCCCCTAGGCTTTACGAAGTTGAGAAAGCGTTAGGAAATCTGAAGCGAGGGCGAGCTTCAGGTCCTGATAGACTGACCCCTGAGATATTTAAGGATGGTGGTCCAGTTTTAGCAGCTAGGTTGACTGAGATCTTAGGTAGAATATGGGAACTGGACGTAATCCCATCCGACTGGTCTCAATCACTGATTTTCCCAATCTATAAGAAAGGACAAAAGTCTTCTCATGACAATCACAGGGGAATCAGTCTAACTAATATAGTATCTAAAATTTTGGCCTCAACAATACTTCGACACTTAACGAAAGCTCGTGAAGAGCAGACTAGAGAAAACCAGGCGTACGCCATAAGTGACTCAAGGTAACAAAAGCCAATCGAGCCTTCTGTATCCGTGCTGAGATTTCGTCACTCAACAAGCCATCAGTAATGTCGAAACTCTCTAAGACCAGTGAAGCCGTCAGCATGCTCAACTACACTCCCTATTACTAATTCAGGTGCCGACGCAAGCCAATCTTGAAACAACATTTTGCGTTTCGAGGAGGAGAATCGCATCCCGAACATGCTTGCATTGTAATCACTTGATAATGACAATTTTCCGATACTAGCCTAACAGCACTGTCTGTACCACCAGTCAGTGGCTTTATGAACTGACACACCACTGATTTAGCGCAATCTAGCTTTATTCTAACCTACGGCTACCCTACTCAACCGTGCGCATCGAGGTAGGCTGTGTTCGTTTCTGTGCGACGCTATTTCTAGCCATTTTAGCCTCATCAACTGATATAATCTTGTTCTAAGACTCCAGAGATGAAAATAAGGTAAAACTCATTTGGTTCGCTGGTCGCCATGGGAAGCGATATTGGTTAGGATGTTTAACTTTCAGTTATTATGTCTCAGATTCAAACCCTACACCACCGATCTCGGTTTCTGTAACCGGGTGGTATCATTAGCTTTCGCACGTGGAACGTAGCTGAAATCCAAGTACCTGGTTGATGAATTTAAAATGGAGATATATCTAACGTAGGTCCATCAGCCTATCGGAAAGTGCATCCTGAGGCTTAGGAGCCTTAAATATCTCACTACTTCTACACGCATCAAAATTTGAACAAATTTTGAATACTTTATCCTGAGCAGGCTTATTTTCCATTGCTATATATTGCTGTCACATGTCGGATGATGTTGATCAGAATCGATTCCAGTGGCTCAGAAACATTTGCTATTCACCTTCTAGATCGACATGTTTTTTCATGGTTGCATGTTGATTATGATTGGTTTCTGCGTCGTTGTAAGATATCAGTCTTTACAACTGCCATTTTCTAAAATACTACGATGCTGTTCCTTTATTCAGGTCACAAAACTGATTCAGTCAGTAACGGTCTTTGTACGCGCAATGCAAAACGCTCATCTGATACCCTCCAATCATCACGTTACAAGTGTTCTAATGATATCTCTTCCACTCAGTTATCTAAGAAACCAAAAATCTCAAATACTTCTAATGTTCATGAGGGTGGAATGATGTTGAATATTGTAAGTAATTTCCTGAGTACAATTGTTAAGTGATAATTTTACTCAAGTGTAATTATCATTACATATTTTTATTGAAAAAAACGCTGATGATTCGTAATCCGAGATGGATTCTTATTGTATTTAGGTCATTCTTATTATGTCTGTTCTCTCGTTTTAGTTAGAGACTATTGATAAAGACTCAGCAGATGCGTGTAAACAAGAGAGGCAAAGTGAAAAGATAAGCAGCAAGAAGTCAAAAGGTAAGTCTCATATTCTATCAAGGCAGTTAGCTAAAGAATTATGCTGTAAAGGAAGCAAATCCACTCCGGACCGTCGTGATTCTAAAAAAATGAAGTCTGTACGGAAGGACCATCTCCCTGTTTATCCCGAAATGTTTGGGTGCCCATCAACTTCTCCAAAACCACTTGCAAACCAACCTATGAATGAAGGCACTAAGAAATCTGGAGAACTCCAGTGCATAGAAAAAGCGTTAATCATTTCTCAGGAACTCCAATCACTTAAAATCAAACAGGATGAACTGGAATTAATATTACGGAAAACTGAAACTGAGTTAAATTTAGTGAGTGTCAGTTACATATCTTACAACGGCTTTTTATTTTATTTTGAAGTTAGCATGTCATTCGGCGTCTATATCAATCAGTTAGCTACAACGTAGAACTGCCTACTTGTGTACATTAATTCAGGTTGCCATACCACGTTAGCACAGAGACGCAATTGCCAATTCAAATCTCATAGTGGTAAATGTTATAGAAATATTAGCGTAGTGGAGAAGATTAGGGATCGAAGATATGATTTGATGAGTATTGTCCAGTGAAATGAATTTAAGGAGAGAAAAAAAGTCACGAGGAATTCACGAGATTAGAATTTGTGAGAAGACAAATAGTGGATGCACCTGAGCCATCGCAGACCATTTTGAGCCATGCTGTTCAAGGTCTGTAACCGTCGGTTACTATTGTGTCACGAAACCTAGCCAAGGTAGTCTACATCTACTAATATGAGTCAGTCCAGTTGTCATTGACTTCGTTTACATCTGGACAATCATGTTAGTTTAATTTCACCGATAATATGTACCTTAATCACAGAGTTTTTTCTCAATTAAAGAGACCCGACCGAAGCTGCTACCTTGACGTGGTGGTCGGGCTTGCCTATCGTCATGACCCAACCGAGCTATATTGGCTGGGACTTATGTTCCTGAAGGTTCTACCATGCCAGGCTGGTCGATTGGAGAACGATGAGACTAAAAGCAGCTACCCAAGGTCTGAGGGCGAAGTCGTACTGCTGACTGCAGAGGGGTGTGACAGCAGTAAGGTGTTTCCCTCGGACAACCAGCATCTGCAGCGATGCTGCCTTCTCACAAGGAAGGAAGGGTTAGAAAAGGTCGGCCCTAAAAATGTCACACTCCCCCTAACTCACGGATTTCCGTCTCCTTGGGTAAGGGTGCCCACTAAGGGCCTTTAAGAACGGAGCTAATCCTCAAAAAACGTTTCATAAAAAGGCCGTGCGTGACCGGCCTCAAGCAGTTGTCCTTTGGACTCTGCGGTCACGCACCAACACTAATCCATCTTCCTTTTCAGGTTCCTCAAGAAACAACCTTCCACGGTGTGGGCAGCCGGGAAGTGACTACCGCCCTCATACCCGTACCAGCACGCGAGACCAAATTGGTCAAAATCAAATCCTTCCTACACCCCCTCATGTCTCTCTTATCTCTACGACTAACTGTTATTACACTCCCTTTTCTCACTGCACCGCTAATGCAGACGAAGCGAGATCACGAAAGGTCGTTCCTGGTCTCTTGAAACCCCGTTCTAGACTACATGTTGGAGCTTTTAATGTACGGACATTGTGTCAAATAGGGCAACAGGCATCATTAGCTAGGACTTTAGAATCTCGTGCCATCGATGTATGCTGCGTCTCGGAAACGCGCATACAGGATCCTAGTAAAGTCATTAACCTAATTCCACCTTGTCAAAACGAAGAAGCAGTTCGATTTACTCTTCGTGTATCCGGTAGCCCTGATGCTGCTTCCAGGGGTCTTGCTGGTGTAGGCATAGCGTTGAGTCCTAGGGCAGAATTATCTCTCCTAGACTGGATCCCAGTAGATAGTCGTTTGTGCGCTGTCCGACTAAACGGGACAGTAAGGACTCGTAAGGATAGGGACACTCGCCGTTGCCTCTTCGTCATATCTGCCTATGCCCCCACTGACTGCAGTGCAGACGAGGTTAAGGATGAGTTTTACAGAAAGCTTTCGGACCTCCTCCAAAAAGCTAAGCGCTCTGACATAGTAATAATGGCTGGTGACTTTAATGCTCAAGTAGGTAGACTAGGTGAAAAGGAAAGACATCTTGGTGGATGTTATGGTGTAGCGACTGAGAGAACAGACAATGGCGACCGTCTGTTGCAACTATGCTCAGATAACCGCCTATTCTTAGCGAACACCAACTTTAGGCATAAGGAAAAGCATCTGTTGACCTGGCGACCCCCGAAGTCGTCTCAACGTTGGACTCAACTAGATCACATCGCCATCAGCCACCGATGGAGGGGTTCGATAGAAGACTGTCGCTCGTTCTGGAGCACATGTTTGGATTCAGATCATGCTCTAGTGCGAGCTCGTATCTGCTTAAGGCTTACTGGACGTAGGAAAGACACCGTAAGAAAGCCTCTTAGGGTTTTACTTAATGATAATAAAACCAAGAAAATATTTCAGGAGCAACTAGAAAGACAGTTAGGCGACCATTTAAGCGATTCCCATCCGGAAGCAGGATGGAATGATATCAAAAAGGCTGTGGAAACAGCAGTGATATCTGCTAGTAAGGTTGACCATAAGGCTAGAATGAAACCGTGGATCTCAGTAGCATCCACCGAACTGATGGATGCTCGAAAACGCATCCCACCTGACTCTGAGCATGATGAAGAGCGTAGTCAACTTAGGCGCAGACTTATAAAAAGTCTGCGTAACGACCGCGAGCAGTGGTGGGTGGCGAAAGCAAAAGCGATGGAAAAGGCAGCGGCGATAGGCAACACTAGACAACTTTTCCGCCTTATTAAAGAAACTGGTATTAGGAATCATAGTGTAAGTGAGACTATCTTATTATCCATTCTCAATCCAGGAGACTGGATCGATGGGCAGAACACTTTAGAGATCAGTTCAACTGGCCACGAGCCACTCTTCGGTTACCCACGATCTCCAGTCATCCTGAATGGCAAATCGACGTAAGTCCCCCTAGTCTTAATGACGTTGAGAAAGCGTTAGGAAATCTGAAACGAGGACGAGCTGCAGGTCCTGATAGACTGACCCCTGAGATATTTAAGGATGGTGGTCCAGTTTTAGCAGCTAGATTGATTGAGATCTTAGGTAGAATCTGGGAACTGGACGTAATCCCATCCGACTGGTCTCAATCCTTGATTGTCCCAATCTATAAGAAAGGACAGAAGTCTTCTTGTGACAGTCACAGGGGAATCAGTCTAACTAATATAGTATCTAAAATATTGGCCTCAATAATACTTCGACGCTTAACGAAAGCTCGTGAAGAGCAGACTCGAGAAAACCAGGCTGGTTTTCGACCTGGACGTGGCTGTATAGACCACGTCTTCACACTCAGACAGGTCCTGGAACATAGACACACATTTAGGCGTCCTACAATAGTTGTTTTCCTAGACCTTAAGGCGGCATTTGACTCTGTTGATCGTAAGGTTGTGTGGCAGTGTCTGTCATTGAAAGGTGTACCACAGAAGTACATTAACCTTATACAAGCTCTTTACTCGAACACCACTGGTCGGGTGAGGGCTTATGGCGAACTGTCACCGGAATTCTCTACTTCAAGTGGTGTCCGTCAGGGATGTCCACTTTCTCCATTCTTGTTTAATTTTATCATAGACATGCTCCTGGAGTTAACATTATCCTCGTCTGAATTTTCAGGAGTAGACCTTCTACCAGGTGGCTCGCTTATTGACTTAGAATATGCCGATGACATTGTCCTACTTGGTGAAGACGCTGACAAAATGCAGTCTTCTGACCACCCTAAGCAACAATGCAAGCATGTTCGGGATGCGGTTTTCCCCCTCGAAATGCAAAATGTTGCTTCAAGACTGGGTTGCATCTACACCTGAACTAGTGATTGGGAGTGAAGTGGTTGAACGTGTAGACCGCTTCACTTATCTTGGGAGTCTCATCAGTGCCGATGTCCTGGTGACAGACGAAATCTCAGCTCGGATACAGAAGGCTCGATTGGCTTTTGCCAACCTGCGTCACTTATGGCGTAGGCGAGATATCCGTTTGCTGACTAAAGGACGAGTGTACTGCGCAGTAGTTCGCTCCGTCTTACTTTATGGCTGTGAAACATGGCCAATGAGAGTAGAAGATATTCGTAGGTTACTGGTTTTCGATCATAGGTGTCTTCGAAGCATTGCTCGTATATCGTGGGACACCCGAGTGAGCAACGCTCTTATTAGGAATCGGGTGCTAGGTAAGAATGGCAGATCAATAGATGAAGTGGTGAAACTTCATCAGTTGAGGTGGTTGGGACATGTGTTGCGTATGCCTAACCACCGGCTGCCTCGTCGAGCCTTGTTTTGTAGTGTGGGAATAGGTTGGAAGAAAGCTAGGGGCGGCCAAACCAAAACATGGCAGAAATCCATGAAGTCATTGACTAGTGGACTGAGCCATGTCGGTAATTGTCGACTACCTGGTTGGGGTCCGCGAGATGATAATAATCGATGGTTAGAGACCTTGAATGACATGGCTCAGAATCGTTCGCAATGGCGCCGGTGCATTTATTCTTTGTGTTCTCTCAAATGCTAGTCTTCTGGATTCTTCAACCCCTCTAGTTTCGACTCTCTTAACTTTTCTCACTGAATCATACTTCTTGAATAGTATCTTCTAATCCTAACCTCTCTGATTATTTCTAATTCCCTTACTACCTCTTCTACTATTGGATTTGAATTGACGATTACTTCTCTGTGCTGATGTGGTATGGCAACATGAACTGATGTACTTATGTACAAAGTTCTACGTTGCATCTGACTGACTGACTGACAATTAAAGAGAACAGTTGTCTCCTACTAACGCACTATAAAGCTCTTATTTCCATTTTAGTAGTTGAAACGTTGACCTTTGATCATATTATCTGAATCGTTTCTAATCTATAGCTTCATAAAAATGAAGTTTTAGTTTTGGTCTATTTTATTGTGAATATGATCTGAAAAGTAAATTCTGCCAAGCGAGTGTGACATAAGTGGTCCTTTTCTGAATGCTTTTAGATGAACAAAATGCATCAGCCTCTAATTTACTTACTACTCAGATTTTAATTTAGATGATAAAAGTATTTCAAGAAATCTAAGCTCCTCTATATGTTTTCTTGATTTTATTGTTTTCGCAACATAAAGTCAAATTCCATTATCTATGCAATTAAAACATTAAGAATAAGTGTGGTTCTGGATTATTCAACTCCTCTAGTTTTGACTTTCTAAACTTTTCTCACTGAATCATACTTCTTGAATAATATCTTCTAATCCTAACCTCTCCGATTACCCCTCTTCTACTATTGGATTTGAATCGACAAA